GGGGCCGTGGCTGATCCTCTTCCCAGCGGGGGAGGGGAAGCACCGGGGGAGGCAGTTTCGCCTTTTGTGGGGTTTCTCTTGATTAACCTTTATAAAAGGTCTCATCCTGTCCCTGTGTACCGTTGCCTGTCTTCTAAAACCAGAAAGCTAAGCGTTTCCGTAACTTCCCACTGCCCCATTTAAGTGAAATAAATCTGCAGTGACACACAATGCAACCGTTAACCTCCTCTCAGAACCCTGGCGCCGTGTGGTGCTGAGGCAGCCTGTACTCGCCCTCTAACGGGCAAACATGCTCCAGCCTTTGCCGGCCTTGTTACGCAATGCCTTAGCGGTGACCTCTGCCATCCAAAGGCAGAATAATTTTCCAAATTAATTGACTGTGTGACAGTCAGATGTGCCTCCGACTGATAAAACTGATTTAAGGGTGTGCGAGATCATTGCTGAGGCGTGGCGGTAGAAGTTTGCTGCAGTAATGAGGTATATAGTGCTTTCTTTGCCTAATTCTGTAAGGAAATGTGGCCTACGTGGCTGTGTGCTTCGTCTGTCTGCCAGTTCCGATCCCAGCTCACTTTAAACAATTTAGCCAATTTTAACTAAATTTGACTGAAAGATAGGGTTTTCCAAGGTACCAGTTATTCTGGATGTATAAAAATTATTAGCTTGGTGGAGGAAAGCATGCCCCCAAGAAGGAAAACTCATGTTTTTCACTTCAGTTGGTGGGTCAGGCCACACACATGCACGTGATCCAGCTAGTTTACACATGCACGGCTGCTAAGGGTAATAGTGTCTAAAGGTTAGGGTGTCCCTGGGATGTGTGGACAGATCATACGTGGGCCTCCTGAACTCAGAAACTAAACTAAGTGTGCCAACACAATAGCCCTAAAATAGATATTCCCCATCTGGTTACTGCAGAGTTCTTGGAAACCTCCTTCTGTAGAATCTGAAACTCAACAAATTCCACAGGCCATTATTATTATATCAGGCTGAATTTGGGTGTGATTCTGTAACGCAATTTCTATTCTGACCTTGGGCACTACCAACAACAACGAAAGTCTGAATCATAGAATCATAGAATCATTAAGGTTGGAAAAGACCTCTAAGATCATCGAGTCCAACCGTCAACCCAACACCACCATGCCCACTAAACCATGTCCCTAAGCGCCTCACCTACGCATCTTTTAAATACTTCTAGGGATATGTATCAGAAAGGGATAGATACACATACTACTTGACAAAGTCCTCCTGTTATTTTCCTGTATTTTCTCCATTCCTTCTGGGCAGAAAGGATGGATGAACACTGTGCAACCTTGAAAACAGGAAAATATAAATAACTGATATGGAATATACTTAAGGTGCAATGCAGCCTCTCACAAAGTACAGCTGATTTGCTAACAGATGACAAATATAAATTGCGCCGTGGGTGTATTTTACTTTTTAAATTCGTACCTATGATTTTTTGTATCCTTATTTCTTCTGCTGTACCATAATGTCAAAAAATCAGTTCATTTTGCTTTGGTTTCATTGCTTTCATTGCATAAAAGTGCTACATTTAAAATATCATATTAACAAATTTATATTCGCTACAGCTCCATTAAGAGTCTTTCTATAGAATGAATACTGTATTTGCTTCCACCTGGCTTACTCACCTTTTGAGATAACTAGATGACAAGAAGAGCATTTCAGGTTTGTAGGACATTTCTTTTTTTAACTTCACCAGCATCGCTTCATTTTTGTAGTACTCAATATTTAATGGGTTGTGGAAAAAAATACTATATCAGAAGAGAGTTTACTGAATTAATTAAATCCTTCATACTGTGTATACTCTATATTTGAGTCAAATTGTTTGTTTTTAGATATACATTACTCAGGGTACTTTTATTTGGAACTTTTCAGAAATGTTCTTTGCAGTCTCATCTGTAAGAAGAATTTATGGAATATCATGGTGGTTGTCAGAATGAAAGACTTCACTTTTTTAACCAGAAAGTGTAGCTGAAAAATTGTGACTACAATGTATAGGAATAGTAATGGCTTTATTCAGTCTTCTTGTGGTGTAAAGGATAGTAACATACACACTGAAGGCACTCTACAGATTGGCAACACATCAGTTGTCTTTTAAGAATACAGCAGCAATGATAATATGAACATCTCACACTGAGTTCATTGCACTTATTTGCCAGATCAGAAACTTTAAGTTGTAATGATCAAATTAATAGTCTATTAGAGTCTTAAAGATTTTGTATTACATTAAATTATCTTCCCCCTGGCCCCAAAGCATATGTGTATAAATAAAACAATAAAATCTCCATATCTGACTCATGTGGTTCTGACTCATTTTTATAATGAGGGTCTGACTCATTTTTAAAAAATCTTCTTGGCCAAATGAGAACAAAATTCCTCCACAAAGATGATTCATTTACTGCTTGGAAGGCATATGAAAGTGGCCGTTAGGGGGTGATGTTCCTAAAACAAAACTACCCCAAATGAATAAAATAGTTTCTATGCCTGAGTTTTCTCTTATTTTCATCGTGGTACGTGAGTTTTATCTTCAGCATATTAATTTGAATCATCCTCATCTATGTCAGTGTAAGAACAGAATTTGGCTCTCTACAGCTTCAAGTAATGAGAAATAAGAAGAAAAGTCGTATTAGAAAAAGGAAATGAATAGACGCTATTTTGCATAAAGTCTGAGTTAAAAGCTAAACCGGGAAGGAAGTTACCACCACTGTGCTAGATGGGAGTGCTTCAGTGACATGTGCTTGCTTTTGAGAAAATCAGAACTCTTCAGATTAGTACTAGGAATAATTACCATGTTTATTTTATGTTTACCTGAATTTTTCAAAATCCATGAAGGTGAGTGATCAGCTTTTAAAATAGCCTTTTATTGATTCTAAAGTCTGATTGCAATTGAAAAGTTGGCACGTGCTTTCCTAAAAGCGATGGTTAGGATGCTGTACTCATACGGACATTGCAAAGCGTATAGATTTCTTTTGTTAGATTTTTAACCAACAGAGTTAATTATATGCGGTAATTTGAAGGGAGTTTGTCATTCATTTACGTACACTGCAAAATTTTTCGTAACTATTTCCATGCAACTGTACTTTTGCTATCTTCATCATGAAGAGAGTAGTTAAAATATGTATGTTCTTTTATAGCAGATACTTATGTCTTAAAAAATAACTTTTTTTAAGTTTCTATACTTAAGTGCCTGTAAAACTTTGTACAATTATTATCTGGTATGAGAGATTGTCTGTGACAGAGATATGCAGTGGTAACCTGACGAAAAGTAGAGCGGAATAGGTGTAATTGAGTGAAGGAAATCTTTTAGCATAAATCCCAAGTGCATCTTGGTGATCCTAAAGGTCAATACTGGATTTAGGATGAATGCAAAATATATGTGTGGAAGTTATGCATTCAGTGCTTTCTTAAAAATCCATAAATAAATTAATATTAAAATAGTTTTGTCACATCCATTCCTAAGTAAGCTTTTGAGTAGATAAACGTTACAATAAAAAGCATCCCTTTGACAAATGGTGTGTATTCCCAGGCATCATGAAATAAATTATTTATGAAGCATAATTTTCTGAAAAAAAAAATTAATATCAAAGTATATCCAGATTAGGTTACTTATATTTACATTTCTATTTTCATTAACCACAAAGAATAAACATGACAGTAACTAGAATATAATTTATAGATTTTTATAGTTTATAAACAAACAAACTTGGTAAGCTGTCGTAAGTTTCAAATATCATAAAATTGATGAGTCAGTTTAAGATGTTGGAATAATTAATGTTTTACCTCCATGCAGAAGTAATCAAAGTATTTGCTAGCACAGACTATACAAATAAACAATGACGTGACTATTACCAGAAGAAAACATTGACCTTACTGTCAAACATCAAAGAGTGAATAGTTTCATTTTAATAGAACTGGATTTTCTATGGATAAACACCCTGTAAATAGAGGCTTAATAAAGGAATTTCATAATCACAGAACTTCCTAACATTAAGCATACAGATTACAGATCTTTGAATGTACAGCAGTTTCCTAGAGGTACTTTGCATGTTTTCATCTCAGTGATCCTCTTAACTCTTCAAGCTGTCTGCGTTCAGATTTCATAAAACCCTTTCCACAATTCTAGTGGTGTTTACATTTGGGAGGGTGCTTCCCAGTCTGGCAGTAAGGAGCAAGCCTCTTGTAGGTACGGCTCTCTGTCTGCCATGTAATCCACTGGGAAAGTCTAGTCTTTTTGCAGCCCTACTTACAGTGTTCAACAATCCTATATATATCCTTCCCTAGAAAGTCCACAGTCCTGTGAGTTGGAAGAAAATAAAGTTACAGATGCTAGATGGTAATTTGAATGGCTTTCTCAGTAGAGATCTTTCAAGAGGATGGTAAGCACCCTCCCTAACAGGACAGCATTCAAACTTTTTCCGCTCAGAAAACAGGCCTTTCACATATCTATAACATGGCTCACAGGCAGCTCTGGAGCCTGTTTAGCCGCATGTGAAGTCCAAAATGGTCTTCATAGTGCTGTATGTAGACTGCTGTCACAGCACAGTCAGTGGATTCCCAAGCCCGTGTACAAATTTCTTGGTGAAAGGGGTACAGTAGGGAATTGCCATTAGTTGACCTTGAGAGCTGTAGCAGTGGTTTTAGACTGGTTGCTCAGATGCACACACGCCTTGCTGTGAGAGCAAAATAAGCATTCAATTTCCTGGCTCATCTCCATAGAGAGGCTCTGCACAAAACACCTCCTTCAGCTGGAAGAATTTGACCTCAAGACCTGCTCCACTCCAGGTTACGTGGGTCAGATCGTAAGCATTTCGAGGAAAATGTTTTGACTTGCCTTGGGGAAAGATCAAGCTCTAAATTTTGTCTGACATTTTTCCTTTTTGTATTAAAATGAGTTATTTTCATACCTGCATAGGATGTGTATTTTACATTTCAATTTATTATGTTTTATAAGGAGTTTATGGCTTTCTGATGCAGTGTTAGTAAAGTGAAGATAATTGACTTTGGCATTGGATTTTGGATTTTATTTCTGTATCCTGTCTGAAATCCTTTACTGAACTGTTTCTGAAGTCAGCCTGCTGCAATGTGAGCACCGGTGGCCTGTTGAAGCTGTCAGATTGTGGCTGAGCACTGGAGCAATTAAAGGCTATGTTTTTCTCTCTATACACAAGGATTTATGAACATATTGCTCCAATTACTCATAATGGGAGTTAGATGCAAAATTTCCTCTTCATAGAGATGCAAGGGTACGACTAGAATTGGAAGCTCAGCTACAAAACTATAGGTTAGTGCTGCATCAACTCCAAGAAGTGGTTATTTGTATTCATAAATGAATATTTCATGTTGGGGTTCCAGAAGTTTTTTATTCTTAAGTTTTTTTTTCATGTTGAAAAAATAGTTCAAAGCTAACTCAAGTAAAAATGCATGATTTGTACAATAAAGCCCTACTTTATTGTGGAAGACAGCTAAAATAACACTCATTAATAATTAATTTTGTGTGTTTTTTCGCTACTTGCCAGAACTACATTAATGTACTCTAGCTACGGTAATTTGATACTGAAATTTGACTATGAATACCAAAACCGATGGTCATAATTAAGATTCGTGTTTGTTGACTGAACATAAGAGAACATGAAGGGTGTAGTGAGAGGATTCAGCAGCGTTTCTGTGTGTTTTCACTGTGTGGTTTCAATGTCATTGGAAAGAAAGTTTTCACTCTGATTATAGCTATTTTACAACATACTTCACTTGTGCGTCGCAACTGCACAGTTCAGGGCTAAGTTCCCCCTCCAAACATGAGTGCTTTCATCTTTTTTTCAAGTACAGTCAAATCCGAGCAGCTTTGAAACAGGAATGTGACTAGATACCACCACAAATTCAAGTTAGTATTACAAGAGATTTCATACAATTCAGCAATAACGTCCAGCATCGAGGTTGTGGGAAGGCTCTGTGCTTGCTTTCTCTCACTTGTTGATGCATTCAATACGCTGCTGTAACGCTCAAGAAAGAAAGTGCATTTCATTGTAAGATGGTTAAAGTATCTGTTACATGATGCTTCCATGCACGTATTTGCCCGTGTGTCCTATATGACTGTCTTGCTAGTGCTCTTTTTTTTTTTTTTTTACAGCTAACACTGTAATTGTGTCATGCGTGGATACCTGTTCATCAGATAACACCACTTTTCCACTTTGTACTTTTAACAATTCTTGCAAAAGATCACTGCAACAAAGAAGAGAAAACCAGACTATTTTACTGAAGGCCGTTGTAAGCCATTCCGATTTCCAAAATATTCCATGTATTTGTCAGTCATCCAGGAGGGAACAACAGTCCCCTACTAAACACACAGAGTGTGAATTCAAGACAGATGTGAATGTTGATCATCAAGGATCAGGGTCAGTAGCTAAAAAAAGTAAGTAGGGGAAGAGAAATACTGAATTTTGAAGTAGTTAATTACAACATAAAAGACATGTTTTCATTTGGTAGTTAGAAGAAAATTATAATATGCTGCTGGTTCTCTATGGTCTTTGAAAATCTATGAACAATGGCTTTTTTTAACTTGTCTTTGCATGGCTAGAAAATGCGCATTCTCAGTGGCATTCATTCCTGGCTGTCAGTGAAACATGTTGGTAGCAAAATGCTGATTTCTTTTCTTTGAGGATCTTGTATAAAATAATGGGTGCGGGGGATGTCATTATCTTCAGGGGGCTTTGTATTGGTCTGGAAGGAGGGTGCTGTGAGAAAAGAGTGCCTGATCCAGCAGCCGCCTGGAATATTTCTGTTGCAAATTTGACCTCTGCCACCTGGCTTTTATGAACGCTCTTATATCCCCATCTTTATTCTTTTAATATTGCTAAATTTTCTAAAATATTTCATTTATTTTTAAGGAGTTGTAGTTTCTGATCAGTTTTCATGCTGAATTTGCTTTTAAATGTCATTGCGGAACTCTACATGTTGATTGCTGATATTATATGAAGATAGGTTGTGAGCAAGTATCTGAAGAACTAATTCAAAGATGGTAACTATTCAGATGGCAGTTATACAAGACATAACAATTTTTGTGCTTGTAGTCTATGATATCCACAGCTGTGTAGTATCAGAAATGGCCTTGCATGTTTCATAGAAGGCAGCACTGAGTAAGGACTGGCACAGCAATACAGAGAAGAGTTCAGCAACATCCACATCTTTTCAGAGCGGTAGCAGCGTATTCCTTCTGTGCCATATACGCTTGCAAAGTATCTGGAAACTTTTGGGGAAGAGGATGCCTTTGAATTTTGCTTTGCTAACATTGTCAGCAACGGGGGCAACAGGCCAAGTCCTGAATGTAAGAAATGCAGTTCTTTTCCAAATGCATCATTTTCTTATTACAAAATAGCTGTCTTAACAAGTATGGAAAATAACAAAACAAAAAATACGTGGACAAACTCTGTTCTCAGTTGTACCTACACAAGTCTAACACTTTCGACAATGTCTCACCTACCGATGTTTCTTGTTAACATTGTGCAAGTCTCACAGCTTGTGTGGTTTGAAGTGAAACAAGGACCTTCTCAATTGATAGCAGATAGACTAGATGTACACTTCAAATCTCTATCATCATATGGCTTTTGCTTGGTTTTTATTTTTTTCATAGCCTGATTTACCTTTGATAACAGATGACGAAACAACAAAAAACTGAAAGCTCTGAAGCTGGTAGTAAAGCAAAAAAGGAGCTATAATTTGCAGGGGAAATATATTTTGTATGGATAATCAATACTCTTCAGATCTGTTCAGAATAAGTTTACATGGTATCCTTTTGTCCATTTTATCATAGTCAATGTAAAACCCTACTGTATGTTTTTGCAAATGAAACAGAGAACTTATTTTATTGTTCTTTCTGAGAGTTGTCTCTTTGTCTACCATATGTTATATAACAGTTTTGTTTTAATTTTTAGTTCCAAAAGCAAAAGGCTCACTTGAAGTGAAAACAAAAGATGTTATTTATTTTTATAAATACTTTAATTTCACTACGGTTTCCGAGAAAGAAGAAGTAGAGCATAATACTTACTACCTGCTGGAAATCCACATCAACAATTCTATAGTTGGAGGAAGAAATGCAGTCGAAGAATACCTAAATCATTCCTGTCTAGTGGCAATGATGGAAGACCAAAATGACTGTATAAATATTTCACTGCAACTGAAGTCTTACGTGGAATGTAAGTTACAAAGGAGAGTCAGAATGGAAATCAAACCAGAAACAACATGAATCTTGCAAAAAATCTCCACTAGGTAGTTCTCTGCTTTCAGCAACCATTTGAAAGTATTTAAGTACTTCACAAGAAAAGAATACAATTTTGATCATCTCTTAGTAAAATACCATCTTTAGTAGGCAACTGACAGTTTTTATAGTGATTTAAAGCAGGTTTAGCTGTGGCTTTTTCTTTCCTAGAAGCAGCACAGCAAAGTAAGTGTCTGGACATTTTTTTGTTTGGCGGTGAGAGACTCACAAATTGCATGTATGACAAAACCTGGAATTACATTTTTTCCTCTCCCCTCCCTGATAACGGCATAACCCTGTTGTCTTGGAGGTAAATTAAAAAATTCCTTTTAACTTCAGTGGCAGGAGAACCAGGAGACGGGTTTGACTTCTCTTAATGTCGTACTGCAATATCCTACTATACAGCCTTACTACAGCACACTTAAAAGAGAAATCTTCAGCTGAACTAGGCCTAGTTTTCGCAGAGGACAGCCTGTCAGCTTTTTAAATTTCTCTTTGTGCTGCAGGAGTTTTTTGGCTGATTGCCGGACCATGGTCAGGGCTTCCAGCCCGTCTATATGCAATGCTTGCCATCTGGAAATTGCTGAATTATTACATTCATTTAGTTTTGTATGGCAAATGCATTTTATGCTGTACCTTTGCTGGAAAAAAATACGAGTTTTGGAGTTGGCTAAAGCTATGTCAAGTAAGTCTAGGTAAAATCCTAGAGAAGAGAGGGCAGCTTAGTTTTTTTTTTAAATAAGTAGGTCTAGCTATGAGACAAGTAGGGTTTGTAACTTGCCCTGCTACCTTGTGTTGAAACTATGAGCTAACCATCCTTTGCTAATGGTATTTACCTGGGAAGTAAGTTATCTCAAATTAACAACAAAAATTAACAATACATCTTTTTTTCTATTTGCTTCAAAACAAAGCTAGAGAGGTGCTCAGGGCTTTGACTAGGCAAGGTTGATATACAAGTCATTACAAGTCACTACAAGATGGCTAGAGTACTCTGTTTGAAAGGAGCCTAAATGACTGTATAAAAGATATTTTTAGTTCTGAATTAGGAGGGATGAGCTGTGCTTACCTCAAAGAGCCATGGGGTTATTGGCAGTTGCCTCATGAATTCTCAGTGGAGAAGATACGCAAGGGAAATTGATGTAGGTCTAATTATACTATTCTAAGTCAAGGAAAGGAAAACAGTGGTTTGGCTATAGTCTGTAATTTGATTTTATATGAGTCATAGTAACATAGTTGGTTTTTAAAATAGTTATTTGACAATGCTAAGGTATGCATGCATTAACGTGCAGCTGCCAAAGAAGTTTGAAAGGTTTTTCAAACAACCAGAGAGGAAAGTTCCCCACATCCTTTCTCTGTGGTATATAGTCCTGGCTTGTACTAGTTACTGAACTAATTCCCTGCGGAATGTGGGTGTATTTCTGCAGCAGCTGTTGTCCGAAAGAGCAGCCTACCTCCTACACTCAGTCCCACACTGATTCTCCCCCAAGGCATCTTTGGTTACAAGAACTCTGCAGAGAGGTCTTGATGGCATTTCCTCACATTTTGATAAGAATGTAGATTACTTATCAAAATGTTCTATATGTAGAATCTTACTTTCTCCCGTATATGAAGATGGACCAGGAGGTTGAGAATGCCAGTACAGGCCAGTGTTGGACAGTGGACCAATTCCTTCTGTGCTCTGTCCAAACAAAGAGGGGATATATATTACCCTTGTTCTACCTTAAATATAAATGTTGACTTTGAAGCATTTTCTTCCTGGCTGAGTTGCATGTAACAGTTTATACAAATAGGAGAAGTTTTCATTCACTTAGCTATGTATAACTATTTCAGACATGGGGAGATAAATACAGGTGAAAATGAAGCTAAATTCTAGATAGAAAACTTAATTTCAAACAACAAAGAAGGCTGAAAGAAAAAGGCATAATCTTCTATTTTGTTTTAAATTTTCATCCGTGGGGATAGGCATGGTCCAAAAACCTACCAAGATCGAATGTTCTGTTTTTCTCTGCTAGTGATTTCCTGCTTCATTTTATCTCCTCTACATTTTATGACAGATCCAATGTGTGTGACGAAGATCATTTGGCTCACTATGATTCCAGTAGTTTTTGTGCTTACTATTTCAATCGTCATCTACAAAATAGTCCAAGAAAATGAACAAAACTGTAAGTAACAAAAAGTTAATCTGCATGAATTTAAATTTCTATGCAATGAAAAATGTATTAATTTACAATAACAAAGCTGTTGATTATTAGTGTGGTTCAGTCACCGATATTTTAATTGTAAGATGGTAAAAGCTTCTTATAGAGGGACTGAAATACTCAGATGATTGATACTATCACCTCTCACCTCTGAATTGTGGATGCAAATCCAGGCTTGTGGATGGTGAATGAAATATGGTTTATTTGACAGATGCTTGGTGGCCTATGATCCTTAGTGATATGAACTTCTGGTTTCAGACTGATTCCAGCAGCTAAAGCAATTGCAGTTGAACCTTGTTGAAGGTCTTAAGCAGAAATGCCAATGACCAATATAAGCAGATTGAAATACCCTTTCCTTCCTGAAGATGATTCATCTAGGTCGTGGTCAATAAAAATTACACGACAGATACGAGGAGATATGCACTCAGCTGTCTGTCCTAAAAACTGGTTATCTAAATTCAGCGGTGGTGTAATCCCATAGAGGTCAACCAAGCTGTGCCTTCTTAACCCCAGAGCTGAATTAAGCCCAGATACATTTCTTCTCTTTGCTGTTATTTCAGCAAAGCAAATATTGCTGTGATTTTTGAATCAGCACTATTGACTATTCCAAGTGATTAAAACTTAGGTATGAAAGAACTTGTCCTTAATTCAGAGACAGAAACAATTGTTTCTACAGAATGCCTTCACCAGCCAACACAGGCTCTTCCTATGCAATTCACTTGGGATACAGGCTGAAATTGGGATTTACAGTACTACTTCTAGCAAGGATAAAAGTGTAGGAGTACCCTGAGCTTGAGACTTTTCAGCAGTCAAGATAAAGTCCTCTGCACAAAAACAATGCAGAGAATTGACTGCTTGTCAGCTGCTGGTCCTTGCTTTTCATCCCAAGTCAGAGGTAGGTGGTACAGGGAACATGCTTCCTTTCATCAGTGTGAAAAGAGTGTTACTTAACCTGTTATCTGAGATAATAGCTTTTAGATGCTTTTCACAGCAATTTCCTGAGACTTTCTACCCGTGTCAGCCCTGAGTGGGCAGAATGCCTCTGGACAACCAGCATTTTGTTGCTATTACCAGGCAGATGTCCATTCCCCTTGTAGTCCAGAGCTGCCGAATGGAGACCTTGGGTCACAGAGGTAATAAAAAAAAAGATGAGCCATATCCATTCCCCTGATCATCCTTACTGTATCCACAGGTGGTTTTGTAATGAAAGAGCAATAGGAGTCTAGCTTTAATCATAACTGAACAGAAGGAAGAAGAGTGCCCACACACAAAATGTTGCTGTGATTTTTTTGCATAATGTAAATATTTTATGCATATATTTTTAATGAATAAGCAAAATAGTTGCTTAAAATGGCAACTCTGTGCCGCCCACCAAGTGATTAGAGAAACTCCTTGTGAGATTGTCTTGGTTAAAATACATGATCTTTTACTTATTGCTAGACCCAAATTCTGAGACCTACTTTATGTATATAAAAATCCCACAAAGTGTAAATTAGGTCTTTATAAGTGGGCTATTAAATGCTCTAATTTAAAGGACTTTTATTTGTAATTTCAAAGCTACCTATAAATGTCATGAGTATGATTTTATGTGCTTTGAGTAATAATATCCCATTTTTAATGCAGAACTGTAAGTAGTGATGACTAATGATCTACTGCCTTTATTCTTAAATATCAGTTTTTGATTAAATGCAGGTTTTTCAGAATTGTCATGGACACAAGCAGGGAGGAAAACATGCCCTTTTGAGGCTTCTAATTACTCATCTGCTTCTAGAATACATTTTCTGTTAATAGAGGAATAGTGTTTTTATTAGTTAAATTTACAATATATAACATTATAAACAACATCAATATGTTACTGACAAAAAGACAAGCACATAAAAATCAGATTTAAGGGTTGTATTCCTTATGTATATATATTACGATGCCACCTTTAATTGCAAGTCTATATACTGCTTTTTTCAGTGCTGCCCAAGGAACACAGCAGAATATTACTATGTGCCTAAAACAGCTGCTAAGAATTTTTACAGTCATAATTCAGGTAGTAGTTTTTCTCTTAATTTCTAAGCACTACTGAAAGCTGTTAAGAAATACGGAATTATTCTTTTCCTCTTGAGACCTTCCAAGACATTCTGCTAGGCAGACTGTGAGACTCTCTGAAACATTAATGAGGTTATTTCCATGAGTGCATAAAATAAAATATCCAAATAAACTTGGTGGAGGTTACAACTGATCCATGACAAAGGAGTGAAATTAGAAATTAGTCCTTTTGCCTTTTCCCTTCCACTCTTGTCTTACGAACACTTCCCAAGCTTCCTTTGACACTGTTGCAGTGCATGCTTAGGGCTTCAGTGCATTAGATCTCTGCAGGCTATTCATAAAAAAATCATGACCTAAATAATGCTAATTTAATGAATTTCTTAAAGATGAAGTTTTCTAGTGTTCTCAAAAGAAAAAGATAAAAATCAGTTCTGTTATGTAGAATTGGAGCAAGCCTGTCATCAGAAGCTGGCTGAGCCCTGAACTGCTGTCATTGTGGAACAGGGCTAACCATAACAGCTGCACAATCCACTGCAATAACCCCACCAAGAGCACAGGACTAAGCAAGCAGCAGAAGGATGGAAAGCCTGAGGAGTTCATGAACTGGGTGCTGAGGCCAGTCAGGGGTGTTCAACCCAGCTCTATTTTTCTCTCTCTGAGTGGTGTAGAGCTTGCTCTCAAACTCTGCTTCCAAAGATGAACACCCCACACTTGCAAAGAATCTGTCAGCTTCTTAGGTTGCCAGTACACTCCATCCTTGCTATTCCACTGTCAACAGTGCGAGTCTGAACCCGTACTGGAACATGTTCTTCTTTGATAACCTTCCAAAATTTGTTCAAGGTACACAGTATAGAGGAAGGAAGAAATAATTTGAAAGGGGCAAACCTGAATGGAATTTCCAGAAAATTTCATTCAGGAAAATATAAAACATCTGGCCCTAGGTTCTCCTCATTACCTTATTTCAAAACCTTCCTGTTTTTTCATGGAAAGTGTTTAACAGTTTAAGAACAAGGTGTTTACCAGCTTTCTGTCTAATCAGTGCCATATGTAATTCTGTAGTTGAGGATAACGCATTTTGTTTAAAACAGATTGTAAACACAGAGTAGCAGCAGTTTCTACTATTCTAAGAAGAAGGAGTTCTAGACATGCAAGAAGAACTGTATGTGCTACTAAAATTCATCCCTTTCCTGGTAAGTAATATAAAAGTAAAATAAAAACCTAATAAATCTTGAGGAGGTCAAGAAAGACCTCTTAAGTCTTTCCTGTCAGAGGATGCTTCAGGTTTGTTTCAGTTACTTTGATCCTACACAAATTTGATCTGGCTTATGTTATGGAAACATTTTTATATCATCAATAAATAATTCTGACGATGAAACTATAAGAAGACTTACGTATATCATGTGGGAATGCTTCGCCCAGTCTTCCAAATGTGTTGCATTAATGACTTTGGGTTTTTTACCTCCTTTTAATTTTTGACCATGTTGTGTGATGCATTTGAGGTTTGGCAGCTGAGTGCTTTGAGCATGTATAAAAAGTATACAGACAAGTACACATGTGTATGTATGCCCTATGTGTTTATGACTCTTGACAAAATCTGCTACCAAAGGATGGAATAGATGGCTGCAGCAGGACTCAGAGAATGACTCTGCTGGCACTTTGTACCCTATTTCTAGGGAAAAATTCCCACAAAGTACAATTTTCTAGTCTCAGATAGGAATTAAAATGTGGTCTTCTGAGAGTGTAGTATGTTTAGTACAGATAAATTAAATGGCATGGCTGAACTCAAAGTTTTGGTTCTAGAAATTATGATTTGGTAACAAATCTCTGTGTGAGGGGAAATTAGCAGCTGTAGCTCTGAGTGTTACTGATATTGCTGGAAGAGTCGTATGCTTTAATAAATTCCATGGATTCTGGTTGCACGAAGGGAGCTCTATCTTTAAAAAGATTAATGTGGACATATATAACAATAGCTCTGAATGGCAAACCAACCTCCTTCCAAAACAAGAACAGCTACAAAGCCAGCAAATGAAAAAAATGGTTTTAAATTTGGCTAGGCTTGGGTATCTCCCTGTTTGTTTTGTTGGTTCTTCAGGAGTAAGAGGAGGCTCAATAATTTCTCTCTACAACTCAGTAACTCATGGCATTTCAATTTTACCTAGCAAAGAGTGAATAGCTCCCTGTCTGTCTGAACTCTCCTGGGAGTACAATTTATGCTCCTCGCTTTTAAAGCACTGGCTACGTCTAAGATGTATTTATGACCTCATTATTTTCGTCCCGCAGGAAAGGAATTCTCTTTCTAACATCTTTTGTCTAATACCATACCTGTTTTATCAGCATGTTCACAGTGGCATTTTTAGTGTTGTATATCCAAAGGCATTTTTGACAATGGAGTTTTGTGGAAATTCAAATGTAGTTTTATTAAATTTTACTGAAGAGAATAGGAATCCGATATTGGTCTGTCATGCTTGCTTCTGTGTTCCTCCCACTTCAATCTATCCATTTAACGCAGAAAGATGCTTAGCTGTATGAACTGCTGTAATGGGTTTTATTTTAATATGAAATTCCTTGATTTCACACACCATAATTCCAATCAGTCCAGTCAATTTCCCCATTTATACCAATGTAATTTAAAGTAGAATCAAGACCATAGGAAAAGAGTTCATTTTTTCCACAGTTGCTAAGTTTAAGATTTGCCACTGTGATAATGGATTATAAATAGCCATAGATGACTTCTTTGACAGCCCTTGATAATATTTTCACTATCATTAGTGCATAGCTTGGAATCTTGAAACAAAACATTGAGATCAACTGAAGACAATACAACCAGCCTGGAAACACTGTAATGACACTAAATAACTATGTATCTGAGAGGATGTGACAGTATCTCATATAGACAAAAAGATGTATAGGTACTACTAAAAGGTTATTCAAAGTTCAGAAGGGATAAGGGAAGAAAGAGAAGGAAACCTATATTTTGAGAATGAGAATGATTTCCTAGGTAGACTCAGGAAATTACTGTCTTAATACCATTGTGGTCCTACAAAAAGATAATTTACAGCAGGGATGCTGGTTTTGTGAAACTGTTAGTGGCTCTATGTCCATGAATCATTACCATTAAGTCTGGTGGCCAGAGGAAAGGAAGAAAAATGTATAGTATGTTCTCTAGGGTAGGATTAAAATTACAGCCTTCCAAATTCATGGTACTACAAAGGATTAAGCACATATAGTGAGCATAAGGGAGCTTTAAAGCATTCTGGTCATAAATGTTGACTAAATGTTGTCTGTGCTGTTAAGTCAAAAAAGTATGCACTAGAGCGTGGGCTCTACAGAGCGTGTTTTGTAGACTTTGGATCTGTTCCTGCTATTGCATTTATGTGAAACAGTCCCTTTAATGGTATGAATCGACAAAACACAGTTGCCCTTAAATGCAGCCACAAGAGAAGGGAAAGGGTACAGGGTGCTTTTTCTTCAGTGCAAGAAGTAAGTATTAAGTGGCTGATCTGTATTTCCAGACACAGAGCATTTTTGTATCAAATAGGACTCGATAGTAGTAGCACATGGAAAATAATCCATAGAAGAAAAGTCAATTCCTTGCTTTGTGTTCATGACAGAGAATCTTAGGGAAATTCCCACATAAGAGACTTTTATTGCAAGAATTTCTTTGAGGAGCTTTCTCAAATTGAAAAGGCAGTAGAAGAAGTTTTGGAACAACTTAATAAATTGATAATAGCAATTAGAAGGACTAGACAGTATTCCCTACGGTGTTTTAAAAGAACTCAGATAGAAACTGCTAAACTGTCATGCGCAGCTTACTGCTTAAATCAGCCTGTCCCAGAGAAAGAGAAGGCGGCTATAGTTACCCTGCTCTTATACCTTTTCCTTAGCCCACTTTCCCTAAACCACTTTAGTACCTTTTCCACTACTAGTAACTGATTAAGTATAGCTATTCTCATATAGCTGTATCCTAAAAAAAAAAAAAGCCTGGGGACATGGCACAATTACTTGTTGGGAGCAGGCAAGGTTTAATAACCCTACGTTATTAAAAAAAAAAAAGAAGTTGCACAGAAAACAGATTGCATAAATCAGGGCGTTTAATACCTATACTGAATCTGCCTAGCAGGGTCTTTTCCTGCTGGAAGTTTCATTAATATAATTACATGGGTTATACTTAAGTGTGAATTTATATTACTAGAAGTCTACCACTAATAAGTTCCCATTTAGACCTTCCTTTCCTAGCATAAGAATGACATTCCCTGTTTATTTTTATCCTATTTTGAAAGCAGCATAAGGTCTATTGGAAAAAAGGCCTGTTCCCATTCCTATGCTGGAATGGGACCGTGCAGGCAGGGAATCATATTGTTAATATCATCATGTTATTACTCTACAGTCTGTTTGGGCAACCTTAGTTCAAACATAATGCCTTGTTCTACATTGCTCAAACAGTATACTTCTCTCATTTTCAGTGATACTGCATTGGCTCACAGAGTCACAGTTTGGTTCATTACATTTTAGGATACAAATACAGGATTCCCTGACTCACTTGTCTGGCTCACAGTAATGCAAAGTTAATTCTGATAGATAGTAATTTTATAATTCATCCTGAAAGAAGGACATTGTAGGATCATGGTGACAACCAGGACTCAGAGAATAAAACCTCAGGGTTTCTGGCCTGCAGTTGTTTTCCAGGCTGTTTAGATTTTGTGACATCGAAAGTATTTGATATAAGTGGGCTTGACAGCTGTAATTTGCACAACAAGACAAATTACCGCTCAGTCATTTGAATTCCTGTATTGTTTTATGTGCTATCCTATTAAAATAATAGTTCCTCTCCTACAAGATTAGAGGAAATAGGCGAAATTCTGCCATCTCTCTGATATATTGCTACAGCTTGAGGTTAGTTGACAGATTGGAAATAGAAGCTAACACTGGCTCAGTAGTGTCAGGGCTGGCATCCCAGTGAATTCAGACTCATTCCTCCTTGTATTCTGCAATAAATTTTCTTTTTAGCAAAGAGGACAGGCAAGAGACATCTTCTACAGCAGCAAATAGATGCAAAGCCAAGAAAGGAGAAATTTGTTTAATCTTGGCCAAGTGAAGCATCACCTATTTGATTCTGATCCTTCTCAGTTCCTGACATAGCTGAATAGTTGTCTTTTCCTCTGCAACTTAGATGAATAATGCTGGGAAAAGCAAAGCTTGTCACACTATGCAATATTTAACATGTTTCTGAGACGCAACATTTCCAGAGAAGAATGTGAAGCCTTATTACCGCTTAGGGTTTTTTTTTTTTTTTTTCAGAAAGGAGGATAAAATCTATAGGATGCAGGTAATTTTAGTGAGCTTTTCATAGCTCCTGTATGCTTTCAGTAGAGCACTGACGCACAAGGGGCCATTTCTCTGCTCAGTTTGTGTGCATGCAGAACAGTGTTACACCCAGGCTCTGAAGGGATAATCAGCTACATTCCCATTCTCTCCAGGTTCGTCCTGAGCGTGAAACAAGATCCATTGCTATTTTTAAAACTACCCCAGTTTTATTTTAACTTTGCTTTCCATATTCAGTTGCTTAATTACCAAGATTGAAACTCCACTTTTTAATTGCATTTGTAAAGAGAAAAGCCCAAATGATATAGTAAGTGGAGAAGGGATGTAGCTACATTTAAGCTACATGAGCCACGGTTCATCCTCTTATAGAATCATAGAATCATTAA